GATAGCCCGGATACGTCAAGTTCCGAATCGGGATCTCCTTCGGACCTTCGATCACGTTCTCCTTCCCCCGCTGGCCCATCAAGAACCCGCACCATCAGGACTCGCTCTGCAAAAGGGGTCACGAAAACGAAATCTCCTTCTCCCCCCCTTTCCTACCAGCAAGAGCAAAGGGGCAGCCACGTCAAAAGCACGTGGGTTATCAGATGTTCCAGTGCAGGCACCTCTCACGCCGAAGGGCAAGGGGAAAGAGGTGGCGCCAAGCGATCCTCAACGTGGTGTTAAGCCCCCGAAGAACGGTCCGAAATGGGCTTTCAGAACATCGAATCCAAGGGTCAGTCCAGCTCCCACTCCTTCTGCAGCGCGTCCCCAGTCCGAAGTGAGTCTTTTGCCTTTTCACCCGAATCCACCGAATGAAGGCTGACTCTCAGGGCGAAACCGAACTCTCCACATCCGGCTTTCCTTCTCCGTTGCTCGAGGAACCTGAAGAAGCCTTAGGCCAGGATAGCTTAGGCCAGGATGGCCCTCCAACATCTCCGGAGCGACCCAATGCTCGACAGGAAAGACCAAAGTTCCCTCCTCGACCTCCGAAAACGCTGAGCAATGTTCCCGAAGTTTCTCACTCCGAAACTGCTCCTCCTCCTTCACATCCTGGAACTTCGGGCCTGCCCATTATTGTTGCAAGTAGTCCTGTACCTCGTCCTACAAAGCGTCCATTGGAAGAGGCTGAAGACTCTCCGCTCGAACCGAAACGCAGTCGGCAGTCACCGTCCGAAAAGAGTCCAAACCCACCCGAAACGGACGCCACCCTCCCCCCAGCGGTGCATCATGTACCTTTCCCTGCTACTGACCAGGGTATCGTCTCTTCACCAGCTCCATTCACTCCACAAGTAGCCGCAACAGTTGGAGCTCAATTTCATTCATCTCCAGTAGGCCCTCCACCCCGAAGAGACAAAAGTCTCACTCCTACTGTGCTACCAAGCCCCTCCCCGGCCCCGAAATCTTCTCAACTGCCAAATGCCGAAGCCGGGCCGTCCGCTCTCCTCGTCCCAGTGAATCGTGAAATTGGTCCCCATCCTCCCTCGCTCGGTGGCATAGCAGCAATGCAGCAGTGGTTAGCTCAGAAGGGCCGAAAGCCGTCAGGACTGCCGAATCGTGCTGCTCCCAACATCTCAACCGGCAGTGCAACATCGAAATTGTCTCCCAGGCAGGCGGCTCCCCCCCCTTTCGCTTCCCAGTCGGTACCGCCTCATACTCCTCCTGCAACTGCCGTCGTCCGTGCCCAGTCCGAAGTCGGGGTTCCTGGCCTTCTCTCCCAATTCGGTCCTCTCCCCTCTTACAACGCTCCTTCGGGTAGTGCTATCAGTCACACCCCACAAACCGAATCACAAGGTCCACGAAATCTTCAAGGTCAGCGTCAATTTCTCACCAAAACGCCTTCTGTTCCGTCCCTTGATGAGCCTGCTCCTGCGATGGTTGCTCCTTACGTTCCTGAGCCACCGACTACGTTGCCTGAAGTAGAACAATGCCTCAAACTCATGAATCAATTTCAGGTCACCCAGGCTGAGTTTGAAAAAACGTTCGCTTCCCGGATGGTATCTTATGTTTCGGACATGATGGACTTTTATAAGGATATCAATCGCGGACGTTCCGAAGCCTACTCCGAAAGTCTTCAAAACACCATTTCGGGTGTCAAGAGTGTCGATCAGATGTGGAGTCAGTATAAGGCTCAATTTGATTCTGTTGTTTCGGAGAGGGATACTGCTCAGGGTGAGGTGAAAACACTGGATCGGTTGTATAAACAACAGATTGATAAGAATGAGGAACGGGATGTGGCAGTCACTCGAGTAACTGCCGAAAAGAATGCCGAAATTGCGGTGATCCGAAGTCAACTTCTTGAGACACAAGAAGGGCTGAAGATCATGAACCAGAGGTTTGCTAGTGCTTTGGGGGAGACAGAGAAGCAAGCTCAGGCTTACAAAGCTGCGGAGAAACGGAGCACCGAGCTGGAGGCCAATATGAGGCAGGTGGAGGAGAAGGCCGCTGCCGAAGTGCACGCTCTCAAAGCTCGCATTTCGGAGCTCGAGACGGCAAACGATGCTGTTCAGAAGGAGTTGGCCCAGGCCACAAACTTTGTCGCGGACTGTGTGGACGTTCAGATGGGCTTGGAATCCCAAGTGAAAGACTTGCAGGAACAGGTTAGTCAACTGGAGGGCAACGCCGAAAGGGATGAATATGAGTTGGAGAGGGCCAACTTCAATATCAACGATCTTGAATCAGAGCTTGAAGAAGTCAAAGAGCAAAATTCTCAGCTACGAATGAGGCTCCAAAATGAAAGCCAACAATCCCAATCAAGTCAGTACTCTAACAGACGGGGAGAGCCCTTAGTCACAATGCATTCCCACCTGGCTTAAATGTCCTGCCCACCGCTCCAACCTCCGAGACTACACCTTCGACCATCCGTGTTAGTATTCCCACCATTCCTTCACATGAAGACCTCCACCCTTCTCAAGAATAGGGGCTGTAAACCCAATGTCACCTCTCTTTTGTATGTATTCTTACAGATTTCGGCTTTCGGTCTACGTTTCGGGACTTCATTTCGGGTTATGGTCAACTGTTTCTGTTTTTCCCTTCCATGTTTGGATGTCAAGATGTTTCAATTATGTGTGAACTAGTACATATCATGCATTTCATGTCTCTGCCTGCTTGCCTTGGCCCATCTTTCAAGACTTGACTGCTAGGACTATGTTGGTTCCAGGGCTCATATGAGTCAACCAACCGAAATGGGCATCTTTCGGGGGTCCCTTCTTCAATCTTATGAACTGCCGGTGTCTTTGCACGCACATTGAACAATCCTGCAGATTTTTCATCCTGTGTAACATCCAAATCATATTCATATGCATGTAAATGAGCAGAGTTCGGGAGGCTGAACCGTGCTATCAATCGATATTTGCAGGAAGGCAAGTACTAATCCGAAGTGAGAGACTTTTCGGACCGCTTTGCACGCGGTGCAACCACCTTTCTGATGCAAGTGTTATTCGTTTCGGAATGAAGTTGCATATCAAAGATGAGTGACAGAGGCGATTGTTTGACATCTCTACAGACGATCTATGTAATAAGTCATGGGAGGCACACACTTCTCCAGCTGTTTCTTCACTTTCGGAGTGAAGAAAATCTCATTTGCTGGATCCCTTGCAGCCATTGCCAACACCAATTGAAGCACGCTAGTTCGGAGCTTCCTGCTCTCGCCCCTAGCTAGATTGGATGATTTCAGACCAAGAGCGGAAGCGGTAGGTTTGATTCCCTGGAGAAGAAGACATGCAGCTGCACATGAGAGAGGTCCACAGCTATGAGAGTCGACTTGAGTAGCCCATTCAAGACTGTCCCTAGTAGCCTTCTGTGTCAGCCATGAGCCCCGAAACCTGCAATTACTCACCTGAGAGTTCACAGCAACCAACCAGCCCATTGCCTCGGCTTCGGTCGCTATTCCTTTCTTCACTCCCAATCAGCGTCGCTCTAGCAGA